CCTCTGCCCGCAGGTGTGTGTGTGTGTGTGTGTGTGTGTGTATGTGTATGTGTGTGTGTGTGTGTGTGTGTGTGTGTGTGTGTGTGTGTGTGTGTAGGTGGGTGTGTGTATGTTTGTATGTAAACCACTTATAACTTTTGAACGGCTGGATCGATTTGATCGAGGTTGGAGTCATTCAAAAGAACTTCGTCAAACTTAGATTTCCTGTAAGTTGGGACCAATTCGGACCGTTAGATTTTGAGAAATCTCGAAAAAACTAAGAAGTTTTTGCGATATAGCGGAGGACTCAAAAATTAGCGTCTTAGAGCTTCAAAATGCTCTTTTTTAATTTCCGATACAAGCAATTTTAACGTAGATACAGCCCGTCAAAAAACGTGATAAAATTTGGATCAATAAATTAGCAGGAAATTGATTACTTTGCCTGTTATCTTCATTTTTTAATAGTGTATTTATTTTTTTACAGATGATGAAGATAATAATGAAGCAGAAGAAAATGAAGAAGACTTGAATTCTTCTTCTGACTCAGAAAGTAATTCTAACTCAAGAGAAGTGTCTGAATCAGAAGAAAAATGCGATTCAGATCAAAATGAATGGGCTGAGAGAGAATCACTATCCACAGTCATGGAGGAAGAATTGAAAAATATACTTCCTGTGCATATTCGTTGTGCGAGTCACACCCTTAATCTTGTGGCGACAACTGACGCAATGGTGTGTATCAAGTCTTCAAAATCTTTGGAGTCGAATTACAATAAGATGATCGACCGTTGTAGTTCACTGTTGCAACTGTTATCTGCACCTAAAAAGGCTGAAAATGCCAAGAGTATTTTAGGTAAAAGCCTTAAAAGACCTGTTGCAACGAGATGGAACTCTCTCTACGACTCACTCATTCAAATATTTAGTTTGAAGGAGAAAATTTTAAACAACGTCCAAGCGTTGGAAATGACCAAGCCACTTAAAGAAACAGATTTTAGGTAAAATACTTTTTTGAATTTTGATTCACAAAAAATGAATAACATCAAAAGAGCTGAACTGCAGATACATGTATTGTGATTTTTGAAATTCAGTAACTTATAATAGAAAATGATATTTTTACCTTGATCTAAATTTGTTCAATGCTCAAAAAATAATGGTTACACTGAAAAAAATACTCGGTAGACTCTACCGGGTAGAGGTTACCGATTTTAATCGGTTGCCTCTACCGAAAAATCGGTAGTCTCTACCGAAAAATCTGTAGCCTCTACTGATTTTAATCGGTTGGCTCTACCGATTTTAATCGGTAACCTCGACCGATTTAAATTTACCGAAGAAATAGTTTTTGGGGCCTATAACTAAAGCAAAAATGATTGTCAACATTATTTTCGTGTGGCAGGTAATCATTTATTAAAAAGTTAATGTAACGTTTTCATAGTTGTCGCTTTTCATTGCTATAGCAACTACTTTGGCAACGATTACCATGGCAACGGTTAGATAGTAATGAATAAAATCTGTAAAAATATTGATTAATTAAATTTTCGATGATAAACATTTTGACAAAAGCGTACTCAAATGATAGATCTCGATGAGCAAACCATTAGGATGAGCTTATATCTTGAAAAAGTTTAATAATTAGGAAATGACGTTGTATTTTGTCCACTGATAATATTTTTAACGATATAAGCTTTTTGACTTTTTAATAAAGGATTTTATATATATGATATTACTCATATTTATGATATATATAAAATATATAAAAAATTCATGTCATTATTCAAATGAAAGGTCTCGATAAGTGTAATACCAGAATGAGCTTTTGTAGTTAAAAATATCATTAGTGGACAAAATACAACGTCATTTCTTAATTATTGACATTTTTTAAGATATAAGCTCATCCCGATGTTTCACTCATCAAGAGCTTTCATTTGAGTACCCACATGCATTTTCGATATATTTTTCATGTATACATATGTATAATATATATAAATATATGAAAAATGAATGTGGGTACTCAAATAAAAGGTCTCGATAAGTGTAACACCAGGACGAGCTTACATCATTAAAAATATCATCAGTAGACCGACCAATCGGTAGCCTCTACTGATTATTTTTTTCAGTGTAGCAAAGAAAATTCTAAGTTTTTCAATGATATTCGATGAGTTGTATCTATTTTAACAATGTTTTTTTTACACCACGATTTCAGAAAATTCGTTTTTGGACTAAGCCATCATATGTGTTAGTGATTTATCAATTTCAAATTCAGAAATTCAAAGTGTTTCTTTAAATCATTCTGACAATTACTAAAAAGCTCAGGACTTTTTTATACTATTCAATTTTTTGTGACTTGTCTATTAATGTCATTTGAACTTTTTAACTTCCCACTTAGAAAATTAAAAATTTTCAAAAAATCGGAAGTTATTTTTTCTCTTTGTATTTACGTTTACTTATTTAACTAAAGATTCATCGAAGAATATTGCCGTTGTCACCAACCTATCGCCCAGGCTATCGATGTTTTACAAGGCGATCAAATTGCATCATACGGATATTTACTACCTACTCTTATAATGACTCGAAAGAGACTATTGGCTTGCAAAGATCTGAAGTTTCACTATTGCCAGAAATTGGTTTCTGGATTAATTGGAGCTGTAGAAAAGCGATTCAAAAATATTTTTGCTGTTGTGGATGAAGGAAGAACAGCTGCTGTAGCTGCAGCTTGTCATCCAATGTTCAAGCTAAGGTGGTTATCTTCTCTAAATAATAGCGCTCAAGATAATGTAATGAAGGCTATTCAGGAGGCAATCGAATTCTTCTGTGACACTCCTGTTGATCAGTCACAAACTTTACCAGCAGGGGCTATAGATGATTTCTTCGATTTCGATGACCAACCTTTAAACACTGATTCTAATTCTATTACTCCTAGTACTTCTACGTCACTTAGTTCTACTGCTTCCAATACTTCTGTTGCATCGAGTTCCTCTGCAAGACCGTTTGGCTCAACTGTTCCAGAGGTAAACTTTATTAAATTCACAACCAAAGCAAGGACAGACTTTCAAATTTTGAACTCCTATCCAATCGTAAGAGAAATTTTTTTGAAAACAAACACGATTTTACCGCCTTCTGCACCAGTAGAACGACTTTTTAGCTACGCCACCATGTGCGACCTTCCAAAATATACTAAACTAAGTGATAAAAACTTTGAACTAAGAGTGATAATGAAGTGCAATGCAAGCGCTGCAAAAAAAAAATAATTGACATAAAAATGTGTTCATTAAAATAATTTTTTGTCTTTTGTTAAATATGTTGTGGTTTGTTGAAAATAAATTTGAACTTTTCAGTCAAAAAAATCATTAAAAATTAATTTTTTAACTTAACCATAGCCCAATTGTACAGAAACACTGTCGTTGCGTATATTTAAATACATTGGTTTGTTTACTTTAAAATTATTAACTAGGTAATAAAAAAAACTTTTTTATACAAGATTTCTAAAACATTTCCATAACTAATGCAAGAATAAAATTTCATTACATGAACATTAATATAGACAATTTCTGGTCAACAAGTGTATGTTGATATGCAAATTGAAAATCATTTAATCAACTTTTAGGTGCAATTTACGAAAATTCGATAACTTGTCCCAATCAGAATTTATTCTAATGAAAACGGGAGATTTACGATTTTTTGACGTATTATGAGTTGCAAAATGTTGTTGTTTCTAATACGATCGATTTAGCTCATTTTCGAATTTGACTTTCATAATCATCCATAGTTTCAGTATGTTGAGTATTATTAAGATCCATAAAGAATTGTAGACGCTATCAGAATAACAAGCCACGAGATAAAATTTTGAACTGATGGTATTTTTGGAATCCGCTTGATGACCTGATTTTGACAACAGAAAACTTAATCAAAAGTTACGTCATGGGGACAAATATAAGTATTGGATCCCTTTAAAATCTACTAAAAAAAGAAATTTTTCCTATTTTTTATAAGAAAAATTTTAATGTTAACTTAAAAATCATTCCTATGTAACATATAAATTTCTACTATGTTAACATTCAAGAGATTCTTTTGAGAACATGAAATTTTCTACTGTGTTAGTATGGGAATGATTTCTACAAAAGTATAAGAGATTTTATTATACAAACATAGGTAAGTTTGCTAGGTTAGCATTGAAAACTTACCTATGTTATCATAGCCGAAATGTCTGTGTATACGACACTTACATTACTATAAATTTTTCATTACTTTATAAATTATTACCTATTATATAGAAAGATTATTGAATATATTAACTTTACCACAATTAACTTGAGGTCTAAATAGAGTTTCCTCATTAAAAATTAAAAATTAGAATATCTCGAGTGTTTCATGAATAATACCGTACATATAATGAATAGTTGATAAGTACTTTTGAATTGCAATAATTCAATCACTAGTTACTTCAATAATTAGTTATTTGAATCTAAAAATTATTAATTATTGAAATAATTTATAATTGATATAATTCAATTATTAATTATTTTAATAATTAACAATTACAGTAATTTGATTACTAATTTTTCTAAAAATGAATAATTCAAAAAATTCATATATTCAATATCCAAATAATTTACAGAATTGATTTTTAAATTACTAATTATCGTAGTACCGAAAAAAATAATGGAAAAGAATGTTAATTTTTTAAATAACGATTAATTAGAAATCTAAAATTTTTATTTTACCGATCACTGGTGGTTAGAAAAAGCGAAGCCGGTTGACCACTCTGCCGGCACTGTAAAAGCGGTGAATTACTGCACAAATAACACAAACTATCTGTAACAAACTTAAAATAAACTAAGCACAATTTATTAAAGCGGATTAGTAATCAATTAAGCGAAATAGCGGAATTTTATAACTCAAGCGAGTTAAAATAGCGGGAAAGCGAAGCGTTAGACTTAAGGGGGTATTCTAGTGTAGAATTTTGGAAAAATCAAAAAATTTTTTTTTCATATTTCCAAAGTTTAGGCATTCAAGAATATGCGTTTAAAAGGATTTTTCAATATTCCTATTATTTCACGAGTTATAGCCGTTTTAGTGACGTGGCATCGGTTCCGGTCTGACCGCTACAAGTTGACAAAAGACGCTGGGCGTTCCCGAGTCCCTACTTATGAAGGTCCTTTTCTATTGTATTGTATCCCTTTTAAGTTAAATCTATATTTAATTGAAGGTCATAGAAACTAGTTTTGTTGGAATATTGTCCTTTTAGTTTCATTTTAAGTTAGTTTTGAGGTAACCTTTATACTGAGTGGAAGTACTAGCTCTGACAACGTGTTTATTCCTGAAGTGAAAATTATTTTGTAAATTTTGTAAAATGGATAGAAAATCTTCGAAATTTAGTTCTGCACGGCCATGCAGATCAAAAAAAAGGAGATTTTCAGGTAATCAATTTACTGTAGAAGAAGAAACCAGTTTCACTAGTGCATCTGCAGCAAAATTAAAAAATTCGCAGGATGAGGAAGTTATAATTAATAACAATTACGGTTATTGTATTCTAGAATTTTTTTCTGTTTTTACCACGCTTTCAACATTGATCCTGTGTTCAAGAAGAATAGCTGATTAAAAATATGTAAGTATTCTGTATCATTCTATAAGTAAAATTGTCGAAAACTTGTCTCAAAACTTTGAACGCGTTTTTCTCGAAACTACTTTTTTCGAGCTGGCGGTAAGGATATATCGAGTTCTAATGGACCGATTTACTTCAAATTTGGAGAGGATGTTCTTTATACATCTCTTCATCGGGTGGCCCTTGCCCAAAAATATAACTTCTCATTTAGTATTTTTAAAAAATTCGGAATTGTTAAAAAACATGCAAAAAAAAAATTTTTTTTTTCAAACTGCCGCCATTTTGTAAAAAAATTTTTTTTTAACTTATCCAAGGGTGATATGATAGCGACATTTATAATAATTAAGAATCCGTCTGGTTTTTGTTTTTCAGATCACCAGGAGGGTTGGAAGAAAGCACGCCAGGACACCCTCTTTTATTTAGACCCCCCACTTTGACTACTTGTAACTTTGTAAATTTTAATTTTTTTTTTTTATTAATTTTTTTATGTATTAATAACAAATCAATAAACAAATGATAAAAAAATTGATAGTAAAAATATTTTTTTTTTCCTTTGTAGAGCGCTTCAAAAACCGGGCGAAATTCATGCCTCTACACTAGAATACCCGCTTAATGGCGGAGAAGCGAAAGATAATAATAATAATTCTTCTTCTTCCTCGTCTTGGAGAAGAAGGCTACTGCGCATGTCTAGCGAGAGCGATAGCCAATCAATAAATTCGTTCTATTGATGTCGACATCGATAGCCAATGGTAAAATTCGATACATGTGGCGTGATCAGTCAAGCGGTTTGCGCAAGCGGGTGAGAAATTGCGGGAACGATCGCTTGTCAGGTGCGTGTTGTAAATTTGGGGAGCCCACAGTGACGTATTGCTCACTGAGTGGGCCTGTTCACTGAACAAGTGGACTATTAGCGGCTTAATTGTTAGCTGTATCGGAAGCCAGATCAGGATTAAATAATTTTCAGAATTTGTTTTATTTATCACAAACTATATGATTTAACCGGCACATGAATTGATTATAAATTTACTATTCAGCGTAGTCGATTGAAAACGCCTATTACACCTTCTATAGAGCTCTTGCCTTTTCTTTATGCAATTGTCGTAGATTCACCAATTTAGGTGAATAATATTTTCGTTAAAATTTACGCAGCCAGAGTAATTGATTCCAAACGCTTATACTTACCATAAACTTTTATCATTCTCAATTAAACAGGGCTCTTAATTTCTAGAAGTAAATTTGAACAAATCAGACAATAGTATAAGAGCGACAAAATGAGCAGTACAAAAAAAAACGGAAGGATGATAACTTTTTTAGAAGTAGAAGTGTGAATTGAAACTAGCAGGCAGTAGAATTCGAAAAAGTTCACTGTACTCTTAACAATTGTACTTGCAACAAATTGAATGATTTTTGTTCTCGTTTAACCACTATGCAAATATTTTCTTCGAGGTTTCAATTACACAGGTCCACATAAAAAGTGGTCTTTGCAGGGTGTGCGACAAAAATTTTCCGACGTATTAATTACCGCTGAATACGAATCTGAAGTCAAAATTGGGGGTCAAACTGCAAAAAACGGAGAAAAATAAAAAATTAAAGTGCGTGTGTACAAAGTACACATATCAGAAGTGAAACTTCTCTGGCAAACTAATTTTGAAATCTCGTTAATATTTATTCTCTTTCAAGCTTCAGATTTCCGATACTGAGAGGGAGGAAAAAAACAAGATATGTCGGTAATTTAATTAATTCAATTGCAATTAAAATAATAAGAGTATGGAAAATTAATACAAATTATAAATTTAATTTTTTCAATTTATTGCTTCAGTATTTATTAGGGTGTCCGTTATTTCCCAAATCGATTTTTTTTTAGCAATCGCCCCCTGAATCTTTAGTTAATGACCTAAAAAAAAATATCCAACACAAATCGGCTCTTAATTTTCACATTAACCCGTGCCGGAATCATGTTATATTTCCCATTTAAATAACATGAGATTTTTAGACTTTTTACTTTTAATTTTTTTTCTCAGAAACAAATGGGAGTAAAAATTTGATCGATGCATATTCTGGTAGGAAATTGAACGCTCTACAAAAAAGTTTTCTTATGAATTTTCGATAAAACAACTCCTTCAAAAGTTATTCAACGTTAAACTTGGGTTTATTGTCAATTCTATGATATTTTTAATTTTATTTTCATTTTTACCTCTTTTGGCTATAAAATCGTTGAAATAAAAGATTATTATTATTATCAATAGAGTACCAATGATCATTTATGTCGATATAATGGCCTAAACAGAAAATCAAGGGGAAAAAAACTTTTTTATGAGAAATAAAAGAAATAACATACTTTTCCGCATACAGACATACTTTAAAATAAATTGATGGAAAATGGTGAAATAAAAATGTAAAAATTTCTTTGTCTATAATATTATAAGCAGATTTATTATTATTTTTCTTTCTTTATAATTTTTTTGTTAAGCAAGCTTTGGTCGCATTAGGATATTTTTTCTTGTACTCACTTACAACTTGTATGAAATATTGTTTTTGATCTTCTCGTGTTGTTAAAATATTAATATACTCTTGAGTTAATTTAATTGCTCTTTCGGCGACATCATTAACTACTTGTAAATTTTTAACAATTCGTAAGCCTTC